CCCGGCGGGATGCTCCCGCTCCCCCTGCAGAGGGGAGCCCCGCCGGCAAAAGCCCTCCTCCCCGGGAGGCTGGGCCAGGCGAAACGCGCACCGCCGGGGGCAGCTCCTTCTCCCCCCTGCGAGTGCTCGTGGGGCAGCCCCGGACTTTTTCCCGTGTCGTCTTGATGTGACACTTTTCCCTAGACAGCGCTGGCTCTGCTGCTGGCCGGGGGTGCCTGCTATGGGCTAACCAGGAGGGCTACAGACAAAAAGCCTACAGGGCGTCCTGAGGGGAAGGGAATCGGGACCTTCTCTTCCCCACACGCTTACTCCCATCATCTTGCCCCCTGTGCAGGTGTAGGCCTACTCACCCTAAAATCATTAGCCTCAAAACTTGCCTGAAATGCAACGCTTCTTCCCATGAATTTTGTCAGCTAGAATGTGCATGGAAGACACACTCCAAAAGGGGGATAATACAAGGAATGCGTTTAAAATGCACATTTGTGTTTATTGTAATGTATTTACCCAGGTTTGGGTATAAATCACACCTGAATAATAGCAGAAGGATGTAGGGGAGCATGCCTCTTTTTCCTTAAAGAGCTTCTTCCAGAAGACCATCAAAGCACCAATCACCACATCCTGCTGTATCTACAGCAAAGCAAGTCAGTCTGCTTAAATTGCAAACGGTAGAGCAAATCAATGAGCACACGTTCCCGCCATGAAAGCATAGTCCTGTGCATAGGAAAGTGTAATCCCCCTCCTTCACATCCCTGAGTCCAAGAAGGAAGAGTAGGGTCGGGAAGATGGGGATCACATCACTCCTCCCTGCCACACGCATTTTCAGTTAGGCCCAAGGGGTAGGTCACACATACGCTGTGACTGGGACAAACTTGTTGCTAAGCTCCAGCACAACAGGATAAGAAGCTTTGGAAAGGAGGCATTTGTTCACAATGTAGTGTCTTTGAAATTTCCAGTGAATTCAGTGGCTGCATGACAAAGTTTGCTCTGTTACTCTTAGATTGTTCTTTCTTCCCTTGAGGCAAGTCAGGGTTTTTGTTCTTGCCTCCAAAGTAGGGTGTGACCTTGGTATCTTGAATGACCTATTCCTTTAAGTAAGCGTGCAACGCGGCTCATCACAGTGGTATTAAAATGAGATGGTACCTGAAATGATAGAGGATCTATCATTTTACTTCAGCAAAGCATCGCTGGCCTCTAAGGAAGTAGGATTCCTCCCAAAGTGCTACGAATCGTAAAAACCTCATATTAACAACATTATTGTTATTCACTCAGCCATAAGGAGAAAAAGAGCAAACAAACAAACAAACAAACAAACAAACTCTGAATAGCTAAGATCAGGAGACAGACTCTAAAATGATCATAAATCCCTCTGGTTTTAAATGGTAAAACATATTGATTATCTGACCTGTGCACTGAGCATAACCAGTGCAGCAATTACCGCAGTCAGATACAATGACACATATTATAGGTGAAAGGAATACACCCAGAGAAGAAACCAATTTACTTCACCCAGAAAGCTGTGGATTGAAGCAGCTTTGGCAGCGTTTGTATTCACAGGAAGATGGATTTTGGATGGTGGAGGTGAGAGGAACAAAGATCAGTTTATTTTTTAATGAATGCAGATGAAACATTCCTTGTTAACTGAACAGAGAAGTCTCACTCTGCACTGTAGGGTCAGGCAACCTGACATGACAATTAAAACAGTAGCTCAAGACTGCCAAGAGCAGGCTGGGATTAGGCTGGTTTGTGTTACTTGCTCTGGAAACTGCTGGGAACAGCACGTAAAAGGTTGGACTGCAGCTGGGCAGGTTAGTACCTGGTCTTTGTACAGTTTCTTAAGGTTTCCCGCATCTTTTGTACGGACTCCTGCTTCTAAAAACCTCCCACAAGCAGTTATTTTCCAACTCAGTTGTAATACAAAGGAGACACGAGAAACAGCAAAAGATACTGCTACTGACACAGATAGGATTCCCTCCCCCCTTTTTTATCTCGATAAACTAAGATGGGAGTAGAAGACAACTATGTGTTTGTTAGGACTCCTCTTGCATCTGAAAAACACATTCAATCTCCTTAGTCTATTAAGAAGGGTAAAACTGCTATGATAAGGTAACTGTTATCTCAAAGGGAGAGGCCTGAAACCTGATCTTGTAGTCTTTATTCACGCAATTTCTTGTTTGCACTGGTACAGCAGAAGGCCTCGCCTCAGTGGGTATCTGCCTTTAAGCATCCAAATAGCCTCACTGATTTTAGTAGGGCTGCTTGCACGTTGAAAGTTGGACACTTACTTCAGTACTGTGGTCTTCAGCCTCTTTTGATCATGGACACCAGCGGAGGTGCATTAAATTTGAGTCTCCTGACAAGAAGTTTGCTTTTTTTGGTTACTTTTTGCAGGCCAATTAAAAAATCTCCTGCAGACCTCCAGAAAATCCTTCATTTCAGAACGAAAAAATATTAACTTAGAAGAACTGGGACTCAAGTGAATAAAACATGTAGAGCTTCGCCTGTAATTAGGTATAATTAGTAGATGGATTAGTAAGGGACCATTGGATGGCAAGTCTATTGGCTACCAAAATACAGTACCATCACTGAAGTGCAGTATACCACCAGTGATGTAGCATGTACTGCTTTAAAGTGGTACTTGGCTTGGCATAGCACTGGGAGTCACTGTCACCAGTCGTGACACTGGCACAGCAGCTGCCACTAACAGCATCTGCTAAAAGTTGTGTGAAGCCCTGACTCAGCCTGAATTCCTGCAGGCATGCCACAGGGCTACATATCTACCCTGCGAGTTTAACTCTTAAAT